AATGTACATTGTATTGTTACTCCTTTTGGAGAATTTTATCAAATTATGAATATACATTTTCTTTGGCCAAAAAACGATTGATAGTGTAATAATCTCAAAATAACTTTTTAGAGTATTTACTGAATCGGTGCGGCCCACCCGGGATAGCGGTTAGCGACGCTAACTGCCGTACCAAAGAGCCCGGGTTCGAATCCCAGAGAAGGCATCTATTTTTGTGAATATACAATGTCTTTGCGGCATAAAGCCACTCTACATATGCTGCGAGTCTAAAGTCCTCTCCAGAGGTTGCTGGCAGGGAAAGAAGTGTGGGGACCTTCGGATCCCCCCCTTAGGTGCCCTCCACCAAAATTTAGTAGGCTTTTTCTGGTATTACTATCAGACAAGTCACAACACTCAATAGGTGTACGGATTCTCAAGGAAACAAATTTTATATATAGTTTAGCATTTGGTTATACTTCTTTTATGGCTTATTAGATGATAGTTTTGGCTTATTAGAGTGTTATCTAATAAGCCGAGACGTAAAGAACTTTTCTTTTCTGAAAATCCCTTTATTTTAAAATTTTGAAATAAAGATATCCTTAAAATCAATGAATCCCCTGCTCATAAGATAGCTGAACGCTGGTAATTTGACCTGGGCTCAAATTTCGTGTTGGCTGAAATGAGTATGTTCCCGATTTTTCAGTATGTAACATGAATACGAGATACTGTCCATCAGACATTCTTGCACAAATACATCCCTCCATTTAAACAGATAGTCCGTCTATTCTTTACCTTAAATAATTATTCTAATCTAGTTTTGACAGCAATTTGTCACCACATAATAGAAAATTATCAGAGAATTTATTTGTTGCTTTCCTCAAACAAAGTACCACCAACTACTGTATGTTTCAATGCACCGTTTCTTTTTTTGCACTTGTAGCTAGAACAAAGTATTCACGTACAACCTGGAACAGCAAATGAATCATATTTTGTACATTGTTAAGAAACTGTTTTCTTGAAACTCCTACAACCAAACAGAAACTTAGAGAAACGAGAGAAAGTAAAATTTCAGCCACATATTTTTCAGTAGCATGTTAGCAACAAAATGTTAATTTCAATTCAATTCCGCTTCAATATCCGCAGATTCCACTGATATTAACATCCAAATTAGTGCAGCTAACAATTTGCTATCGCTAAGCCTAAATACCAATAATTATGGAAATATACCTATTGGGATTCTGTGCCTGTTAGCCGCAGCATGAATAGTTACAATAATGGGATTAACAAAGATCGGTATTGGCAAACCACAATTTTGGTGATTTGTATAAAAGGTAATTATGGTTTTTTGATTGTAATTCGCTCTGCCAAATAACACAAGAAGAGTTCTTGTGATAGTTTCTCGTATATTCACACTCTCTTGGCTTTTAAAATCTGCCTTCTGGACACATTTAGCAAAAAGTTTGAAAGCAGTCTTGTCGCGAAATGAAGCAAACCATTCTAAAATAGTACTTTTTTGGAGTGAAACGTTCTGTGTTAGCAAAAAAAAAAAATTATCCTTTAAAAGATTTGTAGCCTTTCATTAAAAAAATTTCAACTAAAATTAAATTCAGTATTTTTTTTATTTTTGTCTGGAATATGCTTTTTTAAAGGATAGAAACATTGGAGTAAAATATTCTTATTAGTATATAATTTTACTATTATCCATCAGACACTTTCTTTTGTGGGAATGAAGGAAATGTGACTTATTTCATTTAAGTTTGATTACATACCTTTTCTAATATTAAACGTGAATTGGATTCAGCAGAAAATACTAATGACGTATGAGTAGCGGAAATTTGATGAAGCGTATTGGAATAAACTGTCGATTCGAAGCATTTCTAGGTTCATTAATTGTTCCCAGTATGTAGATTCTCGTTATTTAAAATCGAATCGATTACGTTCCAACAACAACTACACTATTCACGGTTGGATGTTGACTTTACATCACAAGAGAATCATTCCACGCTGAAATGAGCATCTCAGCAGCAACTATTAGGCAAATATATTTTCCTAAGCTGAAACTGTTATGCAAACACTATTTTCTTAATGACATTTTAAAAGACTATAACCCAAAAATGAAACTTTTTGTGTATTCCTTAAACATTAATACAATTTATAATATCCTTATTGATGTGAATAATTTCACTGCTTTATTGAAACTGCTTTCTCCATGCGTCTCTTCGAAATAAAATCGTCAAATTATTTATGCTTTGCTTACATTTTTGACTGCTTGTCAGTTACTTGTCATATTTTGTTGTATTAACATAAAGGCAAAGTATTGTTACAACTCATTTGCTTTTGATAAGAAAACTGCTGTTTTTTTTATAATTTCCCGAGGGGTAACCCTGTCTGTGGAGTTTCTGTAAAATGAAATATTGTTTTTGATAATTTATTCATGGCACCTTATCTGTACTATATGTTTAATCCTTAATCAAAATACTGATTATTACCTGAAACATACTATATCGTTTCCATAGCAGAAATTTGCAGTATTATTATTATTTATGTGTTCCGCGCTTAAGAAAATACACGGAAGGAAGGGATGCCTTCGTGTAGGACTTTCTAAAGAAACCTGGCTCATATTAACGCGTTACACATGGAGAAAACACGAAAGCGCCTATGCAGCCATCCCATTCGTGGGATTTTGAAATTTGAACGGAACTACCAGTGTTCAGGGACTTTACCGCTCGTGGGCCCGAAACGTGCAGTAGGGAACGTCTTTATGTAATAAGATGATTTTCAGAGCTTCGGCTCAAGTCTGCGTGCATTTTTAAAACTTTAAAATCCTTCCTTGCTTCTAAGACTCAATAAGGTAATTTATATTGACAAAAACAAGAAGTTATTTTTACACGAGCTGTGCTGAAAGTGTGAAAAGCGCTGACTTAGAATAAATAAGTTGCTGATCATTATATATATATATATTGTTTTTTGGCGGAATATGAAAACAATTTACGTTTAGTCATGGCCGAAAAAATTACTACGCAGATGACTGGACATTATGGCGCAATGGATGATCGGATGGAATTTTAGAAGCACGACAGCTTGATAGTTAAACATAATTTATTCTTGAATGACGAATTTCTTAATACATAACTGTAGATGCAATTACATTTTAACTAATGGCGAATAGCCAGCAGAGGCTGAGCGACAAGCTGTCGGTAGGCAGACGAAAGAGAGAGAGGCTACGCAGTTATTAGATATTTATACAAGATAAGTGCACGAAGTACAGCTGATGCATGACTGGTTAGTTTTAGTTGCCCTTTTCAAGTAACATTCCATATTTTGAGGTCGCCAATTATTTTTTAAGCAGCTATCGTATTTTGTTACATCTTACACAAACATATATGTAAACTAATGAAACTCGTACATGAATAAATTAATGCAAATCAAGATTATGCATCATATCTACTTGCTTATTATTTCACACGATAGTTCCCAAAACTGATAATCTGGTGATTCGGAAAATAGAATTTTGAAATTCTGAAAAATCAGCCGGTAGACCTAGATTACTGGATATCGTCATATTGCACATATTTTTATATGTTTTATGGTACGATAATACCCAATGAAACTCGTACATGAATAGATTATGCATCATAACTACTTCCTTATTATTTCACACTATAGTTCTCAAATCTAATAATCTTGGGACTTGGAAAATAGAGTTTCACATTCATATGTATTATTTTTGAAAATATACAGAATTCAAATTTGGAAGACTTTCCATACTAACTTGAAAATAATCAGACCGTTATTTGAGAAGACAAAAGGTTTACCTTTCTAAATAGTGAAGAATTATCATTCATCAAATTTAAAAGTCGCCCTCGTATCGTTGTACATTCCCTTATTGTACAAGGTATTCATTTTCTGCCTTAGCTGGCCCGGTGTTCAAATCTTTCTCCAACTGAAAACATCTTGTCTGTGCTTCTAGAGAGAGTGGAACGATAACATCCGTAAGCCAGTATAACAAAAGAACTCTGGTATACAACCAAATCAGCTGAAAACACGCATAACTGCTACCCAAAGTCCATGCTCAGTAGTATTGTTATTGTTATCAAAAACATATGCTCGGGATACTGATTTCTGCAAGTTTTGTTATGTTCAAATATAGTTTATTTGCAATACTTTGTATATAATTGTTAAAATACAGTGTTTTTTCTTTATAGTGTATTTGCAAGATAAATAATGACCGTGCTAACAACTTTTTTTGATGGTGTAACAATTTTAATGACTCTCAGTGCATTTTAGCTGATAGATTACGTTGTATAATGAAATACATAATTATGCGGAATTTTTAGCCATTATTACAGAATATCATGCTTTGGAATGCTTATTACAGAATAGTAATTGGAATGCTTATACATAATATCATGCTTATTACAAAATATCCACGTTTGAAAAATGTAGTAATAAATTTTCTTTCAATAATGAAGCTAATGGGTGAATGCTTTAAGCTTCTCACATTTCATTTATTTTATATCCTGCTGTAAAACTGCTTATATATTTAAAAAATGAAGAGGAAAATTGTAGAAATCGATTTTTAGACACAGTACATGCATGAATAACCGTCTAACCACTGCAAATGTGAATCGGGACAAATTACTCTTGCAATACTTTAGTTCAGGCAACCTTTTCATATCAAGCAAGTTTGGGAGAAAACAGACTTTTATGAGATGAGAATTCAAAGCACGCAAGTCTCTCTATGCTAGAATGTTTCTTTCTCTAACCGAGCTCTAAAAAAGAAAGAAAAAAATAATAGGATAAGGTTGCAAACTAGGGAAAGTTTGTGCTGCCTATGTTTTATTTAGATTTTATTGTGCTATTCTTGCATTGTCGTTTAACAAATCCCTTACTGCAAGCCGACTAAAGCCTTCTTAGAAACTTTCATTGTTTAATTTCCGAAATAAATCGAATAGATGTTGACGAAAAATGAAAATATCTTCGGTTTAATAGAAAAATTTAACAAAAGCTGTAGCTGCCTATTATGTTAAAGAATAATTAATTTATTAAAAACACATTACACTGAACTGGATGGCAACAATGTAAAGAGTGTGAAATTCCATTAAAGAATGAAAGAATCGACGAGAAAAAAAATTTATTGTACAATTAATCTTCATTGGAAAATGATGAGTAAGCAGTGCGACCTTCCGCTTTCGGAGCCACTTTATTAGCCAGATAATCCGTGCTTTTCAAATTGATGACCTGAAAGGAAATGAATATCGAAGAAACGTAATTAAACAACCGCTTTCCATTAACTTAGAAATGCATAAGCAATGATAAATAGCTATCCTAAGCTTACTTTTCATAGGGCTGTGGTGAAACCTTGTGAAAAATAAAATTTCAAATTCAAATGCTCTGATAATAAATGTTGTTAGAAAAGTTTGACACAAACTTGGAAAATTTTCCGGTATAAAAGCAAAGAACGTTTTAATTAACCCGATATATTCCTCCATAAACAAGTGTGTAGAAGCATTCCGGTATGCACATTCAAGCTCTTTAATAGCCGTTCGTAGGTAAACATTAGAGAATTCCAATTTTTCGAATCTTCCAATGACCATAAATATTTGACACTTTTGTTAATTATTTAACTTTCACAATATTGTCCTAGTTTATTCCTATATATTAAATTTACAAATTTGATATTAAATTTTTAAGCATAAAAATGAAATATCACAGAATTTTTTAATATAATATTTTAAGAATTTCAATAAGTCATAATGTAGTGAAAATTGTGTTCAAATTTCCTTTTAGCTGATTCCCAATAAATTATGATAATGTCAATGTCTCTCCTCGATAATTTATGGGAAATAATATATACAACCAACTATATTCAGCCCGTGGTTAAAAAAAATTGTAAAAAGGCACAAAAGCGTTTGGTAAAAGACTTAGTAAAAACGTACAAACGTATGGTAAAAAATTTGTAAATAAAAAAATTATGTAAGAATAAAAACAAGGAAATACATTACAAGCAAACAGTAATATATCAAAAACAAACAAATATAATCTCGAACGTTGCAGTTATTCAAAATAATTATAACACTAATTTCTATGAAAAGACAGTAACAGTAAAATATTTTTCGTAAGACAGCATTCATGATGCTTAAAAAGAAAATAGCTCATACAATTATAAAATCATAGGATAAAATTAGAAGCATTTTTTCAATTGTACTTTATTATTAGTTTTAGAACAATGAATTATTAATTGTTGACTTGTAGTACAATTGCGAATATGTTCCTTCTTCTAATTTCTAAATTTTGTACCACTTTTGAAGTAATTTTATGAGGTGTTTCTCTCCTCCTTTGTGCATGCCTTCGTGGTGTGACGGTAGCACACTCGAAGCGTATTCGAGAGAGGTCCAGGTTCGGGTCTCGAAGAGGACATTGCTCATTTTTCACGTTTCCCGCATCGAAGAAAAACCTAATGACTCTACAGGTAGCGCCCGAACTAAAAGGTGGCAGATTATGATGCTTCACCACAAGGATTTAGTGAGTGGGACTCCTAAGAGCCAGTCACCCTTTAAAAGGGGGAGTATATAAGGTATTTCCTCCCTCTTTTCTGCATGCCTTCATGGTGCAAAGGTAGCATACTTGGCGCGTATTCGAGAGGTCAAGGTTCGAGACCCGGCGAGGATAATGCGCATTTTTCACAACCCCTACTTCAAAAAAACCTAGTGTCTCTACAATTTTAATGACCACTTTTAAGTAAGAAATTGAAATTTTAGTTTATACGTACAAAACGATAGTAAGGTTTGTTTTCCCTTTATAGAAATAATCCACTAAAATATTTGAATATGCGGTTTTCGAAATAATTTTGAGTCAACTGAAGCCTTTGAATGCAAATTTTGCATTGAAATATGGCTATGGGAAGGAATTACAATGTGGGAACAATCGTCTGTAAGAAGGGACATTGCAGTGAGTGAAATAAAACTGTAACTTTGCTATGACATCATTATGTTAATAAATTGTAGCCACACATGAGAATCCCAAATAATTCACATGGGGGAAGAATTCTCCTTATGTCTGCTATTAACTTCTGTATGAAAGATCTGCGGTTTCCTATTTTTGATATACTACTTTAAGGTGCAAATAATGTTGCAGTGGTATTGACATGCAATGCCATGTTTTAACTGCACATCTGTGCTCTTTCATAGCTTACATAAAATATTCTACACACGATTTCGCAACTTTCATCCGTTTAATCTCCCCGCCATACCTTTGCAAATCTGGTTGAAAAAAAAAAAAAAAAAAAAAAAAAAAAACGTTGTTTTAAAAAAAGTCGTTATATAGCTTCGGAATAAAAGATTTTGTTCTCTCTCTTTTTGTAAATTTCATGTGTTTGAAATAAAACGTAGTTCACACATTTGAAACGAAATCATACGTTTGGGGCAAATATCTCCTTTTTTTGCCTTATTATTATTTCTATGGATTGAGCATTAGAAAAATCCTATTTTTAAAACGTTTGCATTTTAAAAAATAAGTTCTGCGTTTAAGGTGATGTATTGTCTTGCATCATACCAAATGCCATCAGTTATATAAATGGTAATACCTGTAACAAAACATCATAAAAGCAAAACTAGAAGAAATATATGTTATAGAAGGCATGTCATTCTCGTGTCGGTTATAGAAACGAATCAGAATTTGATATTTTCAATAGAAGGCATGCTAGTTCTCATTCAAGTTTAAAGAACAATTCAGATAAGAAAACTTTCTAATAAAATATTTGCCCATGAAGGAAAATACAAAATTACTCAAGTCTTTCCCAAAATATCTTCTTAAAACACATGGAGCCGTTAAATAGTTGCATAACAAAATTTTGCGTCTTAATTTCTGTACATATATCGAAAGAAAATGATTAAATTTATTTAATACTTTTAGTAAATTTTGTTGAGGTACGAAAGTATTGACAATTTGTGAAAGCTTTGAAAATTTGTGAAATAGCAAATGGGATCGGAAACTTTGGCTGCGTTAAAATGCAAATGCAGTACTGAACTCTATCTATTCATTTTACATAAGTCTTAGAATTTGCTGTTTCCTCCTTCAAAAATTTCAGAATCTGTTATTTATTAATATTTCTGCTTTGCGTTTCTTCAAAATAAAAAGATACATATTATTAAATAAATATATATAGCACATTTGCTTGAAAGCGTAACAAAGTAATTCTATATCGCATGTAAAATATTACCATGTTTTCTTCTAAAGCTGCAGTATCTTTTAAGAAGTAGCATAGGGGACTGTAAAGGAGATTTGCGATTCCTATGGCTCTCATCACCCAGGGAAATCCTAGTCTTTTGACCATATATCCGCCAAGAAGGGGGCCTATAAGAAACAGAAATACGCAGACTAAATGCAAACATATTTTCAGGAATTCAATAAAATTATGTTAAGGTCTTTGCATCTATCTAGGACGATCTTTCGATGTACCTATGTCGGTGTATACTATACATATATCTATATATATATAGATATAGATAGATAGATAGATAGATAGATAGATATATACCTGAGATGAAATTCACCAAGGAGCCCTTAAACATCTTTAACAAACTAGCACCATTCGAAAGCATCTAATCTACTGTGAAAGCATATTTGTATTAAAGTATATCAAAACTGTTTAGCTGTTTAACATCTCTCGAAGACTCATTCTGATCAGCTAATGAATTATAAAAAATATGAAAATTTATTGTATAGTGTTGTAAAATTATTTTACATTTGCTTTCGCAATTTCCTAGAAAGTAAAAGAAAATGGAAGTAAGCACAAGAGTAATATTTTTTCTAATCAGAATTTTTAATCATAAATTTGGAGATGTGAGACTCTGAATCCATAAATATTTAGGTACACTTAAAAACCCACTACGCCTGCATGACTTGACATAGCATTCTTATGTCTTATCACTTCAAGTTCTCGGGGAAGTTGTTTAACCTTAGATCAACATACTCAAACTATAGCCAAGAATTCATGACAAAAACAGCTAAGACATGGCTGAAGTCGTGTGACCCAAAACAAAAGAGTAAAAATTTTTAATTTAATCATGATGTTAAGTGACGTTAAATGAAAAGAAATATTTCTCGGTTTATATTTGTTCCTTAATAAGCATATCAATAATGCATATTTAATACAATAAATCTTTAATTTGTAAATATACGTGTGACATCTTTTTTGTATACTACATATCAGTTTTATCTATTATTTGAAACGCATTACTTAAATAAAATAAATTTTGGGGAAAAATGACATGCTAACACGTGATGAGAAAGACAATGGTTAAGAACCACTAAAACTAGATGTTTTTCTTTGATAAGACTTAGTGCAACGTACTTTCATCATATGAATTATTTTACCTTATATAGAATTTAATTTTAGTAATCCGTTGAGGCATTTTATATAATATAATTTCGTTGGTCTCGTGTCTATACAGCATTTACTGGGGAAATTTACATGAAAAATAAAAAAGCTGAATTCTGTGTAAAGATCTAGACTTCTGCTGAGATTAGAAACCAAGCCATAACAAACACATTGTTCATATCTGAATGTCAGCTCAAGAACTATATGTTTAAAGAGAAAAATTCAAGTGATTTTATTTTCATTGACTGAGTTTGAACAAGATTTGATCTTCGCTGGCGGACTTAGACCATAACTGACCTCTAACAACAATGCAGAGTTTTCAAGTTAAAAAGCATAATTCTATATAACAGCACAAAATCATGTAATTAAAAATTGCATTAGAGGTAACTAAAACCATGGAGCGTGTTTACCTTAGTTGTAAAATTGTATTTGGCAGCCAAAATATTGCACTCTTTGGGGGAAGGAAAGAAACACATACTCTCGTATCCAAAATTAAGGGAACTTCGACATCAAGTCCAACTTATGAAAAACTAATGGACACAGTTTATTGAAATCTAGTATAAATATACATTTATAATAGAGAAAGGTGTGTATTTAATTACGGCAAAGCACACTAGGGCTATCTGCCTAAGGGGGAGGGATACCTTCGTGAAGGACTTTCTAAGGGAATCTGGCTCGTATATACGTTACACATGGGGAAAACCACGAAAACACCCATGCAGCCAGCCCGTTCGCGGGATTCGAACCTCAGACCGAACTACCAGTGTTCAGCGACTTTACCGCTCGGCCGCCGGTGGGCTCTATAATAAAGAGAATCACTGAAAAGTCATTTTTTATGTATGCATGATTATTAAGGTCACAGCGCAGGAATGTTCAAACTCCATGTTGTGATATCGAACTGAAAATGAGTCTGAGAGGGAGTATTTTCCCCTCTCGCAGGCAGACAGATCGCGCAGCGTGACGGGAAACTGGACGTTTCAATCCATCCTACTCCTGCAGCAAGGCAGTTTCAACTCCAGAATGGGTCTATGGGGGAAGGGATATTGAGATGAAATAGCCCTCTCAAGAGTGTCCCAAACATGTTTTATATCGTTAAGGTCAGGAGATCTGGCTGACCACTCCATGCGGCGAGAACAAGTGTAGAGACATTAGGTATTTGTTGGAAGCAGGAGAGATGAAAAATGAGCAACGCCCTCGCCGGGACTCGAGCCACGGACATCTCGAATAAGCGTTGAGCATGCTGACCGTTACTCTACGAAGTAGTACGGTGGTGAATGATGAAGAATCATCATTCACCACCTTTTAGTTGGGGCGCCATGTGAGAAAGGTAATAACTCACACCACGCAGTTCATCATCATCGCAACATTTAATCGTAATCGCGGAGCTGCACGTGTGTATATAAGCACCGGTCAGACTGGTTTTTGCCCTTCTTCGCCCGTGTCCTTTCTTCTATCGCTTGGCTGTCAGGGAGACCGCACGATGTGCGGGGCTTTGCCCTGCATAGCTCGCTGATGGAGCATCGTCGTTCTTTTGCATAAAAAAGAAGTAGAACTAAGAGATTGCAATATATTTAAATGAAAATGCTTAGCTTAAAAATCCATCTGTCTTGATAACGTTCTAAAACATCTCAAGTACATTATTAAGATGTGTGCTCTGCAAGAAAGTGCATAATCAGCGGTGTGTCTCCACGTGGTATTCCGTGTGCTAAATGAAATGAAAAAGTAAAAAAAAGATCTTGCACGTGTGTAAAAATATTGTGGGCACTACACGTAATTAATATGAGAAAATTCCAACTGCATATATGTACGATGCGTGTAGATTGTGATTTGTTTGCTAATGGACACTTTTTCGGCATTTGTCTACTGTTTCAGTTTTAAGTTCTCACGTTTTGTGTTCTAAGTTATGATATTCTGATATTTTTATGTGCTATGTGATCAGTGTTATATATTTAATCCAGAGAATGTGTTTCTGATAAACTAAATGTGAGATTAAGAAAAAGAAATTTGTCTCCGCATGTCTCATGCATGTGGGTTAATGGGTAAGTGATACATTTGATTATTTTTGATACTAGAGTTTTATACGCAATGTACAACCAATTAGAATTCAGGCCAGTAAGTACTGAGCACGTGTAAATTGATTAAGGATTTCTAGATATATATTTACTTAGATTGTCACATTACAACACCTCCTAGTAGTGTAGATCTCTACACGCCACTGTAGAGACATTAAGTTATTTCGACACAGGAGAGATGAAAAATGAGTAACACCCTCGCAGGGACTCGAACCATGGACCTCTCGAATACGAGTCGACCTTGCTGTCCATTACACTACGAAGGCATGCTCAGAAGGTGTGAGAAATATATTATACAAGCATTGCTGTCATTTAACAGGAATCAAGTTTGAACATACGATCTCCTCTCTGTAAGATCTCCTCTCTGTACCTCACTGCAATCAGGGAGACTGTCAAAACATGCAAGGGTGTGCTGCCGTCCAGTTTAATGCCTGCTCAAACCATTAAGCCTCCGTCACTGTAACGATCCTTTTCCATGCTGAGGGTGGGACGTATTGTGTTCTAAGATCTCTTCAGGTACAGGTACTCCAAGAATCAGCTTACATACTTAATCTCCATTCATCTGTAAAAAACGCGATCCTCGACTGAAGTTCGCTCAAAGACGCCAATTGTCTACATAACGCTAAACGCTATCTCTTGTGTACTGCACTGTGTGGGTCTTCGGGCATACAACCTTATCTCAGGAAGTCTTAGGGCAAATGTAGACCACGAAACTCTGGCTCTAGTGGCAGCATTCAGCTCACATGAGAACTGTTAAACTGCAGTTGTCCTGTGTCACCGCGCGGAAAGTGCCAGATAACGATTCTCATTCTTCGCTATGGATCTTAGTCGACCTAGTCTAGGTCTTCTCACAGGGAAAGGGATCCAGTATCCTGAATGTGTTTCCAAAAATAGCAAACGACACTGGGCGTTATATTAAGTTTTGAAGCCACCTGCGTTTGTGATTGGCCTGCCTCCAGTCCACCGTCAATACTCCATTTTATTCCGTCGTCCATACCTTTGAGGTTACTCATATTACCTGATACGCTATAAAACGTTTTCAACTCTTGCGACAAACCCGGCGATTGTCGTAAAGGAGTACGAGCACACAAATCGCCGAAAGCCCCCTTGCACTTATATCTCCTCCATAACTCCACAGACACGCACGTATGCGCTTATATATTCGATTCTGAATATTTGCATAATTCTTCGGCGGCATGGTTAGTAACTTTGATTCAGTACGTTTCGTAAAAATAGATATAACTTGAAAATGTTTCTTAATTTTACATATTTTCTAACGCATTTTGTTGTGAATTACGTACGATGCGTAAATATACTCTTCCTTTTAAAAAACCGATTTTCACTTTGCTTTGCTTATCCTATGTGTTACATATATACTAGCTAGCTTCCGTTAGAAAGTCCTCGAAGACATTCCTCATCTTAAGTAGATCACCTGCCCGTGCTTTGCTCTCATGTACCTAACCGACATAATCCAACCTAACTTCATAAAAATGGATCTAATAACTGTAAATATGCATAAATGTATTCTAAATACTCACAAGTAATTCAGTTGCATTGTTTCTCAGTAAACGAATGATATATTTATTGGTTTTCTAAGAATTGTGAAATAACGTTGTTTCTCAGCTTTATTTTTCAAGAACAAAATCATGTTACTTCAGAAGCGTAAGGAAACTAAATTTGAGTGGGATAATCAGTCACTTTTTGACGTTTTAAATTTAAGCTGAAATTATTATATTTGGACCAAGATAACTTCAGCTGCCAAAGTTGAGAAAAACAAAGTAGTAGTTGGATTTATCTATGATACCCTTCCTTTGAGTATCGTTTTGTTAACTTTAGCGTTTAAAACCCAATTTATTTTCTCTTCTCTTACACTTGTACCAACTTAATGCTTCCGTATAATG